GTCGGCGAAAAAAAAGCGTCCAGTCACGCCCTCAGGAGCCCAACTTTTATCGGTTTGGGTCGAAATTAGCGTCGGCGGGTCCAGACCGAACCCAGCACGCTGGGGGGCGACCGGGGCGCCGGGGGAAAGAAAAATGGCACGAAAACAACCCATGCTAGATTCCCACCCCGTGGGCTCGCCGAGTCAGCGAATATGCTTCGTCGTCTTGATCACCTCGCCTCGGCTCCCGCGCGAATCAATGTGGTCGCCGGTCAGCCTTCCATTGATGAAGGACGACGTAGTGATGGGAGCTACCGCCGCGCGTCCCTGCCCAATCCCGTTGCGCGTCCCGCCCTTTCGCTCCATGCGTCCACACCGCTCCCGCCCTCTCACCGCTATAAAAGCCGACCTTCGCCGCCGCTCGCCGCAAACTCGCCAAGCTATCTCTCTCTCGCCTGCACCGCTCCAGTGCCGACCACCTTTCTTGCCCAAAAAACTGCCCTTCACCGTCCACACTCGCCATGGCGGAGAGGTTCCCCGGCGACGAGGTGGCGGCCAAGGGCTTCGGCCGCCGCTGGCTGCACGAGTGGGAGGCTCGCCTGCTGCAGGAGGCCAACTACCCGACGCCGTCCGACATGCACGGGCGGGCGCATGGCGACTGAGCGCAGGCGGCATCCCCGTGCCTCCGCCGCCCTCTGACGCGGAACGCCCCGCCGAGATCGCGGCGATCCGGGCCAACATGCCGGAGCAAGCGTGGCAACAACCATGGTACACAACGGACAACCATGCGCTGTGGAGCGCGTACTTCCAGCGACGCCATGTTGAGCAGCTGGCGTCCACCAACGGCGGCCCGACACAGAGGGGGTGCCACAACTCGGAGGGCCGCCGTCAATGGCGGGGCGCCCGGGCGGACTCTCCTCGCCGTGCTTGCGCACATCGAGGGCGGCAATGAGCCACAACTGGAGTACCCGACGCCGTCCTTCTCTCGTCGCCGCGGAAGCTCCTGGATGCCGAGGCGCATGGACACGCCGTCCTCGTCGTCCTCTGGTTCCCACTCCTCAGGGTCGGCGCGGGCGGCACTCCTCCCCGTCAAGCCCGAGTCGCAGGAGAGGCCGCTCCGTCTGCGCAGCCGCGGCGGCAACCTCGTCATAAATGAGGGCGGCCGCGTCCCTTCCCCTCTCTGCGGTCACATGCGCCTGGTCAAGCCGAAGAAGGAGCCGGCGGCGACCGTAGTGAAGCATGAGCACAAGGACATGGCCGCCGACCTCGAGAGCGGCCTCGCCTGGTCGTGCGCGGACTACGTGGTGCAGGAGATGGAGCGCTAGCGCCGTGCTCTGGAAGAAATCGCCGAGCGGCGCCACGACCGCGACGAGGGCGGCGCCACGACCCCGACGAGGGCAGCGTCATCATGCTCTCTGACAGCGACGATGAGGTCACTGCGCTGAGCCAGCCAGTCCACAGCGGCAATCCAGGGCAGGGCTGCAGCAAGCACGCCCCGAAGGGCGGGCGGCCGAGCGACAGCGACGAGAACAACGTCTTCTACAACCTCCTCGGCATGAATTAAGGAGTAGTTTTACGTTTGTATCTACGTAAATTCACCTAAATATCAATGAAATCATCCAAATTAACTGAATTTTGTCTACTTTGGGCTTTTTTAATTTTTTTTTGGCCGATGCCGTTGTGGTCGTGGTTGGGAATCAGTTCCCCCCACGCCAAAATTATCGCCGGCAAGGCCCCAAGAGACGCTATTTTTAGCCTACAAGCGCCGTTGGGGGGCCGAACGGCTGGAGATGCTCTAATATTACCCCAGCAGTAGTAAAAAACCCAAGTGACATTTTCTTCAATCAAAGAACGTCTGTTACAAGTTACACCATATCTCTGCAGGGCACAAATATCTACAACTGAATAAATGTAACACTTGGAAGAGAACAAAGACAGAAAGAGTGAACAGCAGTTGCAAACTGCAAAAGCATCGATAAGCTGTACAATGGCATTATCAGTTGATGCCAACGGGTGCAACGCTGTCAGGTTTGTTGTTTATACATTATCAGGCCAAAATTCCCTGAAGAAAGCAATTTCGAATTCCCTCTCTTGTGCTTTCTTCTCCTCTTCCTGCATCTTCCGTATCCTCTTTGCGGCCAACTTTGCCTTCTTCGTTACCGGCGCATCCTGCTGACAATAGCAACATATTTGTGGCATTAAGTCAGATCATTGATGAAAAGGGAAAGTCAGATCAGTGATGACTACAAGTACGCTGGTTCGAGATGCAGAAATGTACAAAGGACACATCAGTATTATCTTCTAAACCTTACAAATATTCTGCTGAAAGAAATTGATGAGCATCCAATATAACGTGTTACGTTTGTTTAATTTAATAACTATATATAAACACATACACGTTTTTCAACAGTACCACACAAAGAATCTGTAATCAGTAAATAGTACTCCCTCTGTTCACTATTATAAGATGTTTTGGATATTTCAATATGGCTACATATGGATTGAAGTGAGTAAACAAACACATTAAAACACGTCTATATACATCCGATTCAGAAAAAAAGTTAGAACATCTTATAATAGTGAATGGAGGGGAGTAGTAAACAAATTTTGTGAATTCGGCAGAACCTATGGACTACAACAAAACAGTTCTGGAATCAAGTCAACAAGAATGCTTTGCTCACCTTGGGTCTTTTACTAGGAGCTGTTTCAACATCATCCTCAACCTTTGGCTTTGGCTTTGGTTCTTTGGAACCTAAACCGCGTTTGTTGTTCTTGACACGAGTTTCTACTGGTTCCAAACGCCCCTGTTTCATGACAGTTTGGACAAGTGAGTACACAAACAGAAATAATCCAGGAATAGCTAGGCAACTATAAGTAACAAGCTGGCTCCTTCCAAGTGTGTAATCACAACTTGTTATATAGCAGACGGCCAACCGTGCATTTGTTTATTTTAAAACCCATGGATGTGTTCAGTTATACAGTTACTCCTGAGCTTGTGAAGTGAACAAGATTATACAAGAAGCGAAGGTAAGTTGTTTATAGTTAACAAATTCAAGTATTTAGCTTTATTTGTCCGACTGTGATCATTACCCAGAAACCAAACTAATTTCAGCACGCCCTTTATCATTTTGTGAAGTCCACAATATGAGACAATTTGATCCGCAATGATCTCAAAGACCAGTAATAAGACTCTTACAACACTTGGAGAAACACAGAACAATTTGATTCACAATGGATCATATAATCTAGTACCAAGAATAGAAAAACAAGGAGAACTAAGCCTCGTGTTAGGAGTGCCATGCTACAACTAACAAAATTATCCCCAAAACTAACACACGGATTGGGTGAAAATGGGCAGATGAGATCTTGATCGGGGAGAAGAGAAAAGAGAATAGGGACACAGACCTGCTCCTGCGCACCGAGGCCGGTGCCCTCCTTCCACCCGGACTTCTTCAGCAGCTGCAGCAACCCAACAACACACGACCATCAGGCATACGCAAGGCAACAAAGCATCAAACCCTAATCCCCAGCGTGGGCGGGGAAGGATGGATGGGCAGGGGAAGAAACCAAGCGAGGGACGGACCTGGAAGCCAATGTTAGAGGAGCCGATGGACGACATCGCCTCTCTCGCCGGGCGAACGCGGCGCCCCTCTGCCTCCGCTCGCCGCGCGCTCCAGCGGCTCTCTCTCCTCTCCTCGTTCCAGGCGTCGCGTGCGCCGCTTTGGTTTTACTTCTCTGGTCTGGTCTCTGTCTCACGGGTCCTTGCCGTGTCCGGCTCATTTTGCTCCGTATAAATTCATATTTTAGAATATAAATTCACTCATTTTGCTCCGTATGTAGTCACTTGTTGAAATGCCTAGAAAGACAAGTATTTAGAAACGGATGGAGTAGTTGGTATGCATAATACTAGCTATGATACTACCATTACGATCAGCCTTAGACTAGTCACGGGAGTAACTTAACTAGTAACATCACACATTTCAATACAAGATTGCTTATGTGGCAGCTAATTAATGAAGAGAGAGAGGTTTGTGATAACAGAGGGTGCTTGGATACGTTTTAGTTCCATGACTAAAAGTAGTAGGACTAAGAGCATGCTTGGATACGTTTTAGTCCCATGACTAAAAGTAGTGGGACTAAAACTTGCTAGTCTCACCCATGCTTGGATCCAAATACTAAAGAGACTAAAATCTAGTTATTGCGCATTTATTATCCTCCAAACCCTCCAATCCAGAACTAAGGAGAGGAATTAAATGAGGAGAGAGAGAGCTAATACATATTTTAGTAGGTTTCCCATGACTAAAAGATTTTAGCCTCAAGACTAGTCCTAGCCTCTCTTTAGTCAAGGGTGCTTGAAACTTTAGCCTCTAAAAGAGACTATTTTTAGTCAGACTAAAAATAGTCCCTTGTATCCAAGCACCCTCTAAAACTTGCTAGCCTCACCCATGATTGGATCCAAATACTAAAGAGACTAAAATCAAGTTATTGAGCATTTATTATCCTCCAAACCCTCCAATCCAGAACTCGCATGTGTTAAAGGAGAGGAATTAAATGAGGAAAGAGAAAGAGAGCTAATATATATTTTTAGTAGGTTTCCTATGACTAAAAAATTTTAGCCTCAAGACTAGTCCTAGCATCTCTTTAGTTAGGGGTGCTTGGAACTTTAGCCTCTAAAAGAGACTATTTTTAGTCAGACTAAAAATAGTCCCTTGGATCCAAGCACCCTCTTAGGTAGTAACATAGACTAGTAACATCGGCAAGTTACTACTTTATGTTACTCCCCGCTGTGAGCAGTCTTAAGCGGTCAGGTGCGTTGCTAATTAGGCCGATGTTTCTTGCCTGGCATCAACGATGAGTTATAAAGTTCTTACCCGTAGGAATTGAGTATTAGATAAAAACTAAAACTGAGGATAAATGCTGTATGCATGACTATCTTAAGCATCATTTTTGAAATAAAACAGATGATATCTCATATCGAAATAACCTGATGGGCTACATGAACGGTTTCAATATAAGAGTAAAGGTACCTGGTTTTCTAATTATCTCCTTTCCTCGGATTTCGAAATGCCATGTATACTCGGGAGATGTGGAATAGTACCAAAACGATGAGGAAGTTCGTGTTCTTGTACAATGAGGGCAATGGAATGTTTCGCTTGAGTTGGGATTCACCCCTCTTCCATATGCACAACACAGCAGAAAAATAGCAGTGTCCTGCACGACCTGAATTAGCACAACACCCACATCAATAAATTAGCACAACGAGACATGAATTATGATTTGAAAAAAGATCATGAAATAAGTGGAGACAAGAAACCAAGAAAGGGTACCAGCGGAGAAGGAGAGTGAGCATCGTCGCCCAAGAACAACATTGTAATGGCTGGAGTGTGTCGATGACAAAGACACCACATGCCTCGATCTTGTCTCTTTTTTTTGCAAGGGCCTCTGATCCGTCTCTAACGGATGGCGTAGTTTTGGCCATGTGAATGGCGCTCTCCCTCCCCCTTCCCGCACCAACTCCATCCCACTTATCGCCCTCGTTCCCCAATAAACTGCATGGAACTACACCTAGACCACCATCTATACATTGTCTTCTCCTTCTCCAAGGCCAAGCCTGACTCCACAATAGCTGCGACGCTTCCGCAGGCCACTATGGGCGGTTGCATGGCCGACATCCGCGTTCATGCATGCGATGCCCTCACCTACCGTTTCTCGGTTCTCCGATGAAATTCGGAAATCTTGCTTGCGGGAAAAGCCATCACTCTCCCCACGATCTCCTACTCTTTCCATCCACAAAGCTACCCGCCAACATCACCAACTCGTGGCCATGCATACGTGTCAATCTCTCCCATAGCTGCCAAGCTTCCCACAACACATGGTCAACCGACACGAGATTCGTGCTTGGCTCAGACACCGCTCTATGGTCACTCGAGATGCCACGTCGCCACCGCAAGGCTGCCGCGTGTCGGCCAGGTTCATTCAGTTGCCTTTCTCCATCGACTGCCAGCTGCTTGCTCAATTCCTGGTGACTATCATCGGTGGAGACTACCGCACGCTCAACATCACCATGGAAGATGAAGCTAGATTCTCCTTCACAGTAGCCCGCACCATGGTAGCGGATATGATCTGCGTCATCTGAAAATGCAACTAATTCTCAAGTGGTTTTGGTAATTTATAACAACATATATGTCATTGAACTAATGCCTATTCAAAGATTGTTTCAGAAATGTTAAATGTAGGTATGACAAGGACATGTGAATGTGGACCCCTCAAAATGCAAAGGACATACACTGGCAAAAGCTCCAAGACTCTACTTTTTTTATTAAGTGATTCAAGATCATACCAAGTCCATAGAAAAGCCAATACTATTAAAAGGGGATGAGATTTTGATCATGAGTCATTTGCTCGAAGATATTGCTCCAAAAACCTCCGCCACAACCTCACAAATCCAATCTGTACAGAACCCTAAAGTTCATCTCCGTCCCATCGAAACAGACACACCCGGACCCACTGAAATACACCAGACAGAGCCACTGCCTAAACCCTAGAAACCCGATCTTACCGAGATGGCATTCAGTCCCACCGAAGTGCATGTGCCAACTCTCTGCAACCAATCGATTTCACTTCGGAAGTACTTAGTAACCGATCAGAATTAACGAGATGAGGTAACTTCTTAGGTCATCACAAATTGGCCCCATCGAGTGGATTCATCCAGTCCCATCGAAATGTCTAAAGTTCGAATCTTTTGCACTAGTTGGTGCCTCCGAGATTTATTTTTGGTGCCACCGAGTTGTGCATAAAAGTGAGTAACAGTTGGATTTTTGGTGAAGTCTATATATACCCCCACCCACCTCCTACTCTCAGAGAGAGCAACCAGGATGAAGCCACCACTTCCCACATCCATTTTTGAGAGAGAACCACCTACACTTGTGTTGAGATCAAGGGATTCCACTCCAACCATTTGATCCTTGATTTCTAGCCCCCTCAAGTTGCTTTCCACTCCAATCCTTCTCCTACCCAAGCCAAATCATGAAGAGAATGATTGAGTGTTGAGGAGACTATCTTTTGAAGCACAAGAGCAAGGAATTCATCATCAACAACAACACATGCTAGCTTTTCAAGAGTGGTGTATCATAAATTGGTTAGGTGTCACTTAGGAGCCTCCAAATCATGTGGAGTTGAACCAAGGAGTTTGTAAGGGCAAGTAGATCGCCTACTTCGTGAAGATGTACCCCAAGTGAGGCTAGTCCTTCATGGGCGTAAGCCATGGTGGAATAGACAGGGTTGCTTCTTCGTGGACCCTTCGTGGGTGGAGCCCTCCATGGACTCACGCAACCGTTATCATCCATAGGTTGAAACCTCCATCAATGTGGATGCACGATAGTGCCACATATCGGAACCACGCCAAAAATCTCCGTGTCTTCATTGCGTTTAATATCTTCTACCCCTCCTTTACATACATATGCAAAATCTTTACTTTCCATTGCCCACTCTTTAGACTTGCATGTGTAGGGTGTTGCTTGACTTGTGATAGTTGCTAAGATTTGCCTACAACTAAAACTGAGAAAATGATAAGTTTTTATTTGGTCAAGTAGTCTAATCATCCCCCTCTAGCCTACTTACGATCCTACACCATCGATGATTTCAGACGGCTCGGCGTCTTCAACAGGTTTCTGCCAACTGCAAGACCGCTTCATCCCCAAGGCCCAACTTCTCCTACAATGACCACGAATCACGAGGACAGTTTTGCAACCTTGGCGACTTGCAACACACCATTTGAGTCATCGATCTTTGACCGGCCACAGGTTAGGCTCTGGCCCGTTGAGGCGACCCCATGAAACCTCTTCGAACTCAACCTTCGCTTCAGGAGGCACCACTCCGGATAGGTGCGTGAAGTCATCCGCATCCCGGGAGGGAGCTGTGACGCCCCCGATTTAATCGTACACTAATCATGCACGCAAATGTGTACGATCAAGATCAGGGACTCACGGGAAGATATCACAACACAACTCTAAAACATAAATAAGTCATACAAGCATCATAATACAAGCCAGGGGCCTCGAGGGCTCGAATACAAGTGCTCGATCATAGACAAGTCAACGGAAGCAACAATATCTGAGTACAGACATAAGTTAAACAAGTTTGCCTTAAGAAGGCTAGCACAAACTGGGATACAGATCGAAAGAGGCGCAGGCCTCCTGCCTGGGATCCTCCTGACTACTCCAGGTCGTCGTCGGCGGGCTGCACGTAGTAGGGGCACCTCCGGTGTAGTAGGGGTCGTCGTCGACGGTGGCGCCTGGCTCCTGAACTCCAGCATCTGGTTGCGACAACCAGAAAGAAAGGAAAAGGGGAAAAAGGGGGGAGAAAGCAACCGTGAGTACTCATCCAAAGTACTCGCAAGCAAGGAACTACACTACATATGCATGGGTATATGTGTAAGGAGGCCATATCAGTGGACTGAACTGCAGAATGCCAGAATAAGAGGGGGATAGCTAATCCTGTCGAAGACTACGCTTCTGGTAGCCTCCGTCTTGCAGCATATAGAAGAGAGTAGATTGTAGTCCTCCAAGTAGCATCTCCAAGTAGCATCTCCAAGCAGCATCTCCAGTAGCATCGCATAGC